CCCCCGCCGGCCCCGCCGCCTTCGCCGCCTCCTCCTCCGCCGCCGCCTCCGCCCCCGCCGCCTCAGCCGCCGCGGCCCGGGGCTGCAGCTGCAAGGCCGCTCGGCAGGGCGCGGGGGTCGCCGGCCGGCCTTGGTCAGCAGCAACAGCAGCAGCAGCAGCAGCAGGAGCAGCGCTCTGGGGAGGGGGGCTCGCTTCTCGGGGCGCGCTCCGTGGCCACCCCCTTCAGGGGGGGTCGTGGCCGCCCCCCAGCCCCGGCGCGCTCGGCTTGCTCCAGCGGGCCTCGCCGGGCGGGGCGAGGACTTGCACTCGGGGCGCTCTCCCGGGGCGCGCGGGCTCCCGCTCCTCCTCCTGTCCTCGGGTGAGCGCGGATTCTGCCCGGCCGCGGGGCTCCGTCCACCTGCTAAGTGAAGGTTCTACGGGAGACAACAAAGAAAGAAGCTGTTCCTTTCTTCCTTAGCGAAATTATGGGTGACCAGCAACTGGCCCGCTCCTTCCCTTGTCCGCTGTATTCTTTCCTCCTCAGGAACACATTTCACTCGTTTTCCCTTAGAGTAGTAAAACTTTTTTCGTCCTTGAAGGCGTGGTGATGCTGGCTGTTCGCGTGTGCGGAGAGCGGAGGCTGGCTCCTGCTCTCCCCCTCTGGTCCTCTGGTTTCAAGTTTTGTTCTGTCCTAGGAAAACTTCTTGCGATGGTGCATTTCTCTGAAGTTGCTATTGCCGGAGCTCTTGGTTGCCTCTGAAACAAGAGTCCTTTTTCATTCTCCTCGCAACAGTCACAGTCTGATACGACATCTTTCCTTTTGGGCAGAAATTAGGAAACAAATATAACAAGGAAAAAATTGAACAGGAAAAAAATGATGTCGAATTGCTCTGTTACCTTGTTGCTGATGGTTGGGATTGGTGTGTTATTATTTTCCCAGCAGTTGTCTGGAGAAGGAGGAGGAAGAAGAGTGCATTGGTGGAGGTGGAGGTGTGTGTGTGCATATAGGGGATCCTTGATACACAACCAACTCCTGAGGGCACGTTGCACGGCTCGTAGAGTGCACCGACGGCGGGCGCTGGCGCTGGCCGTGCTGGAGCAGAGTTGCAGCAGGAGCTCGCTCTGTGCCCTCGTTCGCGCTCTCTTTCCCTCTCTCACTTTCCCTCTCCCTCCCTCTCTCTCCCTCTCTCACTCTCTCTCCCTTTCTCGGGCGCCCGCTCTCTCTCGGATCTGACAGTTCGCTCTCTGTCCCTCCCTCTCAGAGCAGGGACTGTCGAATGTTTACCCTCCGCCGCGAGCGCGCACCCACCACCACACTTTCCCAAATACAAGGAAGTCGAGCACCAGGGCCCCCGCTGATTGGCTACCCGCTGGGTGATTGGCAGGCCCAGAATGACTGGCTCACGACGCGCGGCCCCCCTTCCGGCCGTTCCGATTGGTTGCTTTTTAATTTAGGCAGAGCGTCGTAGAAGCTGGAAATCTGTCGTACCCCAGCCTCCCTCCCCCTCACCACTTTCCCCTCCCCGCCCCTCCCCCGCCACCCCCTCCACCACCCCCTCCGCCACATCTTAACTCTTAGTGTCCGGCCCAGAGGTTGGCGTTCCCTCAGCGGTTCTGGGCGTTCGCAGTAGGTCTGGGAGGGGGGAAGAAAGGGAGAGAAAAGGGAGGGAGGGACGCGTGTATGGGGGGAAAGAGAATCAGAAAGAAAATGAAGAGGGAAACAGGAAAAATAGCAACCTACCCACCCCACCTAGTACTGCGTTGTGTCGCCCCCCTCCCCCGCCAGAAATTTGTAAAGCGCGCGGCACGGATGTACCATTCAAGCTAATACCTATAGACAGATGTGTCCCCAGTGGTTTCAAAGTTTCCTCTTCCCTTCACCAGCCGGCCCCGATCTCTGTCTCGGTGGGGGTGGGAAGGGGGGGCTCGCATCGCCAAGAGCTCGGGTCGCGGCCACACTCCTTGGAAATCCGCCACCGCAACTTTCCGCAGCCGTTGCGCGCCGGCGGAGGCCCCCTTTGTTTAAGTTCTCGGATGCCATCAGCTGGGAAACCTGCAGCCCAGGACCAGCGCGGTGCCCGCGCGTGCGAGACAGACCGCTCGCTGCCGCTGCTCGCTCTCTCCCCCACCCCCTCTCTCCCTCTTTCGCTCTCCCTCCCTTCCACCCTCCCTCCCTCCTCTGGGATTCATGCAAGTAGCGTGCGTGCCCTTGTGAGTTTGGAGGGTGCCGGTCAGTGGAGCCATGCGATGTATTTGAAAAGCAATCAGTCCGACCTTCCCCCATAGATTCATCGTAAGTGTATTCGACCCAATGGCTTTAGGAATTCCTGTGGCAGAAGGAACCGAGATCCACTAGCCGCGCCCTCCGCTGCTCCACCGCTTCCTTCTGTGTATGTGTGTGTGTGTGTGTGTGTGTGTGTGTGTGTGATTTCAGTGTGGTTATTAGTGGTGGGGTTTTACTCTCTCGCTATTCTCAGGCATGGTGGTGTTTTTTTCTTTCTTTCTTTTCTGTCTCAGTTGGGTGTGCGCGGTGGATGTGGCTGGCGGCGACAAATGCTTTCTCAGCTCTAGCCCCACTGAAAGAGTTAAGGAGAACGGGAGGGGGAGTTCGCCGGGTAGGCGAGAGAAGCGGGGGTGGGGTGGGGTGGAGGGACGCGGCCAAGCGGAAACGCTGCACAGAGGAACCTCAGCGAACCAAGAAAAAAGAGAAAGTGGCAACGAAAACAAGGGCAAATTGAACCCTCCTCGGGGATTTCCAATGAACTAACCCAACTCGGACATTCAATAAATACATGGTTCCTAATGAGTGTGCGTTGTGTGCGTGCACCCCGAACCCCCAGCTGCGGGTGCGCCAGCCCTGCTCCCGCAGCCGCCTGCCTGCCTGCCCCTGCGTCTGGCAGCCCCGAGCCCGAGTGGCGGCCCAGGACGTAGATCAGGAGCAGCCGGTGTGCTCCGAATAAAATTGAACGGGCCTCCCGCCCTTCTTTCCCGATGCCGAGCGCAGTTAGGTGAACTCAGTTAATGCCGGAGCTCTCCAGCCTAGCCGCAGCTACGCAGCCTTTGCGTGATCTGAAGATTAACAGTAGGCGCGTAGAATTAATGTAGCATCTTGTCCAGCCCCTGCTTGCCGGGTGAGATATCATCGTAGGTAGATTTTAGGAAAGCCATTATTGCCAAGGTATAGATCTGAAAGGCAGTGGTAACCAAACCCCAAACAGAACGGATTTTTCCTCTGGGTCCCCCAAAGGTTCCTTTTTATATTTATGCATGCGTATATGTATATATAAAAGATGGAACACAGATTTCATTGAATAAATCTGAGATCTCCAGGTGCAGACGTTTGAATAGTCGGTGCCAGCACCCCGTGTTTTCCTTTCCTGCCGATTTTGCTTGGATCCGGCTCAAAAACCGAGAGAGTCTCGTGGTTTTGTTTACACTGAATGGGGAGGATAGGAACAGAGCCATGGGGCCGCCTTTCATTAATATACAGTGAGGATTTTGTCTAAATTACTGCTATGAATTTCACAGTACACGCTTTCAAAAGCAGTCTCAGGTGGCCTGATGAAACGTGATAGCGCCTCTGCAAACAGATCCACTTTCTTTCTTTTCAAGGAGGGTGTGCGCGCGTATGGGATGCCCCCCAAAACGCTGTGCTCCTCGATAACAGAAATATACTTCTGTTCCGAGGTCTGTCCCCTTCTTCCTCCCCCCTTTCGTCGTACTTAGTTCTTGAATCGCTCCCGGCACCCCCCTACGCCGCCCCACCCTATCCGCCCCCCTCCCTTTGCGGAGTGTGATTGTTTTGTCTGGAAAAAAAAATCCAAAGTATATAACAAGGGGAGAACAGTTAGTGCTGATTTTCATTTGCATACATTTTCATATATTTTGGTGAAAATAATAGACTAGTGGAGAGCTGGGCTTAGAGGCGTCAGTGTAAAGGGAAGGCTAAGGATGCGTCGGTTCTGGAGAGTTGAGAATATGCCTTCCCCTCCGCCCCCACCCCAGTCCCCTTATTTAAAAAAAAAAATAAAACATCTTCTTTTATTTAAAAATCTAACCCTGGAAGTTTTCTCGGTAAGTGTTTTTCATTTTCTTTCCCTGCTTTCTCTTCTTCCCCTCCTTTCTGGCTTATTTATTTATGTTCTTGTAGGTTTGGGAGCTTATTTTCATTGCTTGGGACAAGAGAGGGTTCAGGGAGCAACTGTATGATGGAAGGAAGAGAAGGTGTGTTGGGGGGAGTAAAAAAAAATCCAACCCTGCTAAAATATTACATAAAAAGATGGACTCATTCCAAAGCTCTACACAGCAAGGCACTTTCCTTTGGTGGGGTCGAGAGGAGAGTGCTATTCATTTTAATTGTTGATCGTGAGGGAGAAAAAACACCCTGGAAAAGAAGTGATTATTAAGCATGCAGTGTATAAATATTTCTTGTTTTGGAAATTTTTTTTCCCCCAGAGAATCAGGACTAGAGGGGAAGAAAGCCCCTTTCTGTAGCCAGTGGTGATGTCGTGAACTGCGTGTGCCCGCTGGGATTGGGGTGGGGGGACTCATGCTGGGAGCAGGAGGATGGAGTGTGGGGGGGTGCTTGGCAAAGGGAGGGCAGAGAGCTGGGGAAGGAGGAAGCGAGGCAGGAAGTCAGGGCACCCCTGGTTAATGCTGTGTCTGGGGAGCTGCAGCCTCCCAGCTCGGTAGTGAAAGCCCATCAGAAAGAGAGTGATCAATCAAAACTAACCAGGACATCCCCACACTTTATTCCCAAAGGAGGCTGGAGCCTTAGCGGCACAAACTAGATTTTACTTTGTTTTCCATTTTTGACAATCCCACTCCACTTGCCCCCTCCTCGCCACTGTCCCAGGGTTTTGTAAAAATTGAGGGTGCAGTTACTTGCTAGGTGCAGTTAATTAGATAAATATGGCTGGAGGAAATAGCTAGGCCAAGTCCAGGCCCCTGCGAGAGCCTTACCTTAGTGAAATAGGCTGGAGAGGATTTTAAAAGCTTCTTGGTTTTGTTCTTTTAAAGGAAGCGGCGTCTGGGGTGATGAGGGGGAGAATCAAATGGCTAGAATTT